TCTCTCTCTCTCTCTCTCTCTCTCTGAGCCTCAAATCGGCACGAAGCCAAGCCTGTATGGGCGGTTGCTCCTCTAGAAATACAAGTGTGCTGCCGACGACTCTGCCTGCTACGATTCTGCTTGCTCATGCGGCTGCGTTGTCCGCCTGCCCTTGAATCCGATGCAGATCCAGAACTGCTCGCGCGACTCTTTGCGGCTGGCATCCATCTTTTCGGCCTTGACAAAGTGAAAGTGCGGCTGGAGCACCTCCCTGCGAAAGACGTCGGCTTCGTGAGACATAAAGTACTTCATCACCAGCACCGAGCTGCTGCCTGCCAGCGCAGATGCGGGCCGCGATTGGCGCGCATCCTCCTGCTTGGGCGTGTCGTCGCGGCGCAGCGTGTCGAATGCAAAGCTCTGTCTCACACCAGCCATCGTCGCCATGATTAGCTGGACGTCCATGATGGGCAAAGTCTTGCCAAGAGGTTTGGGAGCATACTTACGGCAGCGGCTCGACAGAGCTCCAGGGATGCCTCGGTATCCGTGATTGGGTTGCCCGTCGTATTGGCTGTCGCAGTCATCGTCAGCCACGATCCACCAGGACTCAGTCATTCTTTGGACAGAGCAACTTACCCATCATGTCACTGACCACCACATCGACAAAGCCGCGCTGGTCAGTCGCCGATGCAGCCGATGCATCTGCCACGAGCTTCCTCAGCTGCGCCTGCACATTGCCATCCAAGAAGTCGCCCTGAATCGAAGTGACACCGTCAATCTCGGCGAATGGGAGCAGGTCAAGTGCGAATACGGGTGTTTTTGCCGCTCTGGGGCGCTGGATGCGCTCGACTATCGCCTGGCTCCATCCACCTGGTGCAGCGCCGAGGTCGACGATCACACGCCCCGGTCGCAAGAACCTGTAGCGCTCGTCGAGCTGGATCAGCTTGAACGCCGAGCGCGCCACGTATCCAGCGCCGCTTGTGTCGCCGTCCTCGTCGATTGTCGACTTGCTGCGCCGCTTGACGTAGACATCCGTCTTTTGCCGTTGCATGTACCGGCTCGATGAGCCGCCGCGCTTCGACGACGCCCAACGCACAGGCGCAGCGGCATGTAGCCGTGGTGAGAGCAGTGCTACCGATGCCGCATGCCACTGAATCGTCGGCCGCAAGCGTGCTGCTGCCCACTGCATGGCTCCTACGCCGAGATGGAGGTCGCAAGATGAATTCACACTCGCCGCAGAGAGCGAGCGATAACGGCGTCGGTCAAAAACTGCGCCGAAGCGCAAAGACTCCACTTTCGAAATGGCCGCAAAAAGAAAAAGAAAAAGAAAAAGAAAAAG